TGATCCTCTGATTAAAGGGACTGAGGGGGCAGTCCGATTATTTCCCTAAGGGCTATATGGAAAAGGAATAGGAAGATGTAAAAAAGTTCTATCCTTAAAAGCAAAAGAGGGGGGGGGGGTATAAATAAAGATTTATTTTTAGAATTAAAGTTATTCTTGTTAAAACTTTCGAACCAAGTTTGATATTTTTGTTCTCTTCCCTGGAGTGTCTGGACCAACAAAATATTCAAAATGAAAATTTCCACATCAGTGTTTACTTTTCATTCTCCCGGAGTTAAACAGACATATACTTTTACATACGGACAGATAGGACACATAGACAGGTAGACAACAAAACGGACAGATAGGCAGGAAGGCAGATAGATAGGCAGGAAGGCAGATAAATAGGCAGGAAGGACGATAGAAAGGCAGGAAGGACGATAAATAGACAGGAAGGCAGATAGATAGGCAGGAAGGACGATAGATAGGCAGGAAGGACGCTAGATAGGCAGGAAGGCAGATAGATAGGCAGGAAGGACGATAGATAGGCAGGCACACAAAGAGATTAGCAGAAAGACAGACAGGTAGAAGGATAAGAAGGAAGACAGAGATACAGGCAGACAGACAGATCATAATACACATATATAGATAGGCTGATATACAGACGGATAGATGGACAGGCACACCAACAGACAAATAGATAGACAGGCATATATACAAATGTAAAGACATTTATGGAGATAGACAAAAATGTAGACATATATGGAGATAGACAGGAAGGTAGACAGAAATATATACAGGCCTCTAGACAGACATAGACAGGCAGGTAGATAGACAGAGTCAGAAAGATATACAGGTCTCTAGAAAGACACAGACATATAGAAAGACAGACAGGAAGACATACACAGACAGAAAGATATATACAGATAGACAGGCAAGTAGGCGGAAAAAGAGATAGTCAGGCAGGCAAACAGACAAATAGAAAGAAAAGCAGACAAACAAATAGAAAGAAAAGCAGACAGACAAATAGAAAGAAAAGCAGACAATCAAACAGAAAGAAAAGCAGACAGACAAATAGAAAGAAAAGCAGACAATCAAATAGAAAGAAAAGCAGACAGACAAATAGAAAAAAGGCAGAAAAACATGTTGAAGAAAATGAAGGCATACAGAAAGTTAAAGGAAAGTTTGATTAAAGATATGAAATTACGATGAAATTGGAATTTAAAATTTGGAATTACGATGGAATTTTAATTTAAGGTATGAAACTACAATGAAATTTGGATTTCAGATATGAAATTACAATGAAATTTGATTTTAAAGATATGAAATTAGAAAAGAGTTTGTAATTGAGATATAAGATTAATATGAAATTCAAATTTTTTATATGAAATTACAAGCGAATTTGTAATTAAGATATAAAATTACAAAGGAATTTAAATCAAAGATATGAAAATACGCTAAGATGTGATTTGAGCTATGAAACAGGAAAACAAATTTTAGTTATACAAAAATACAATGGAAAAGGATTAAGACTGGATTTCTCATATTTGAATACAATAACAATTGTATTTAAGACTGGGATACAATATGAGATTACAATGGAAAAGGGATGCATGATAAGGAAATACAATGATACAGATTTAGACTGATGATACGATCTATAAGATATGAAAATGCATTAGTTCTGGTTTGAATGAAGGATAGGATATGATTAAGTTCTGATTTGAATTAAGAATAAAGGATATTATTGAGTTCTGATTTGAATGAAGGATAAAGGATATGATTAAGTTATGATTTGAATGAAGGATAGGATATGATTAAGTTCTGATTTGAATGAAGGATAGGATATGATTAAGTTCTGATTTGAATGAAGGATAAAGGATATTATTAAGTTATGATTTGAATGAAGGATAGGATATGATTAAGTTCTGATTTGAATGAAGGGCCCCAGGTTCCAAACTTAATTTAAATTTTGTGCCAATCATGAAGTTTCAAACATATTGAGGAACTTCCAACTAATCTCAAAATATTGAAAACTTTACAAACTTTTGGATTTTCTATTAGAAAAGTTAGTAGTTTAAAAATATTTGTACACCCCCCCCCCCTCCTCCTAAATCGACCTTCTCCTTCCTAACTTCTGTCGCGTATTCTGAGGTTTTTAAACTTTTATCAATTCCTAAACATCTAATCATCAAACTAAACAAAACAAATAAAACTTTTTCACATTTCCCTTAATTTTAATCTTGTTTTCTAACTCTTATAAATTGTTCATTTAAAGGGACTGTCTACGTAATTTCAAGTGATCCTCTGATTAAAGGGACTGTCTACGTAATTTCAAGTGATCCTCTGATTAAAGGGACTGTCTACGTAATTTCAAGTGATCCTCTGATTGAAGAAAGATATGTCCGATTCACAACGGTACCCTTTAGAAATTTTCCAAGGAAAAAGAAAAAAACATTATCTTTTGCCTTATATACATTATACATTTATTTTAAAGAATGTAAACGACGATATATCTCCCATTGCTGCCAAGATAAATAAGTAAAGGGTTCCGATGTGAATATGGCGTGCTTGTGTTTAGCTGGAAGGTAACTTAAAATGCACCTAATCTTTCAAGTTTCATCAAATAAGATAATCA